AAATTAGTTTAATTTTTAATGTCTTTATAAAATTCTTACTTTTTTCTTTAAGTTCAAGTCTATCAAATGCATTAGGCGTACATAGATTAAGTTATATTAGGTGTAAAAAGAATCTTATATAAAATGCAGCTGTAGCTGCAGTCTACAGCTGTATCATTTTATATGAAACTATAGGATTGCAAAAAATAATATTAAGTTATTTAAGTTAAAATTTATATGTATTGAAATGTAATAGTTAACTAAAAGCAACCAAGTTAATTTCAAATATTTTAATTAAAATCAGAAAAAAAATTTTTTAAGGAGAAAGGGATTATATATTTGTTACATTTTAGAAAGAGAGGGTTAGTAAATCATGGTGGTTTATTATTAATGGAGGGGGGAGGCATCCTAAACTGTTGAAAACTAAATTTTTTGAAAAAAATAGATATTTTCATTTCTGTTTTAATTTCTTTCTTAATCATTTTGTAGCAAAAAATATATTTAAAATCTCATTTTTAAATTCCAACCTATTTTGGATTGGAGAGAAGCTAACAACATTATTGTATACAAAGTTAAAAGAATAGTTAAATTCTACACAAGGCTTATCTCCAGTTAAAAATTGAGGAATACTTTCAACCATTTTAAATTGTGGTGTTTCACAGCAAAAGGTATTATAACACTTTAGTTTTGGAATAAATATTGCGCCAATGATTGTGAAATCTGCTGTGAATATTACATTGACTTATATGGATAATATTTTTGTCAATGAGAATGTGTTGCGTCTCAATTATGCCAAGAGATGCTTGGAAAAATATGGTTTGGAGAGCAAAAAGGTTGACAGATTAGCAAATTGACATCCGTTTGTTAGAATTATGTGTGCACAAAGCAGGTGACAAACTGACGAGGTCTAGAGAGAATCAATTTGAAGAAATCTTAATAAGGTTAACTAGGAGAGCAGTGTTTTCAGTATGTAAACAATTGGTAGGTCATTTACCAGTGTGTAATTAGTTACAAGTTATTAGTTTTTAGAAGGGTTCGGGCAACAAAGTTTGTGATTAGATTGTGAAGTTGCAAAGAATTGTGTGGGGATTGGGTTGTACATGGCAATGAGGGAAAGGTGTAGGTTGATGCAAGTTCTTTATCAATAAGTGCCATTATTGAAGTTGGTAATACTACTGTGGAAGATGCAATATGGCTGCAAAAAGAAAGGTCTGATGTTTTCATAAACATGGCAGAGCTAGATTCAGTGATGCAAGAAATAAATATGTCTTTGGCATGATGGTGACAATTTTTACAGATTCTAAGACAGTGTTCCACTAAATTTCTGACCCACGTACTGGTAAATCAAAATTGAATTCAAAAGGAACTGGTGAAATGTTTATTTGAAGAAGAATAAGCATACTGCAACAATTAATTCAAAAATACGATATTAATGCTGACATAAATCTTGTCCCTTCAGAAGGTAACTTAGCTGATGCGTTATCAGGAGTTTGCAGCATATGGTTGAATATGTTGACTGGGGATGACTTCCTAAAAAATTTATTGAAGTGATGTTTAAGAATAAAGAAGTGAGAGTTAGTTTTTTTTTATAGTTAGTACCTATTATGTTTCAAACTGCTTATTACCCTGAGGGAAACAGAATTATGAAAATAAATTATTGTTCAATAATAAGATGATTGAAAAAAATCAATTCAAATTATCTTATATTGATACTAATGTTGCTGTCAACAAAAATGATGTAAGGCTGATGGACCAAATATATAGTTATCAAATTAGTATCATTAGACCTCTATATTCTTGGCAAGAAAATAAATGCGGCAACAGTTTTGAAGAGATTAGAAAATTATAAAAATCAAAAAGTCTTCAAGAATTAAATGTATCTTTGCAACAAAAGCTTGACAGCAATGCATGCCAAAAAAGTTAAATGAGTACTGATTGTACAACCCTTAAGGTTCAATAGTACCCTTGAGTTTTGTAAATTAATATAAATTGTTGTTATAATTTGTTCTCATTGAATTAAGAGAAAAAAATCGTAATTTAGTGATGTGTTTATGTGAGAAAACTGCGATTTGTCACCTGCTGAATCTGAATCATCTATGTACCATCTATGTACCATCTATGTCTATATCATAAAACTCCAGTAATTACCTCAATGCACACTTTCTTTTACTTATGCAGTAGAACAACTGTCAAGTTTTGCAGTGCCCTTAGGTTGTGTTCCAATACTCTCAATTAGCCCAACAGTTTTTATAAAATATTTACTATCTGCCCAGAAAATTTATATTGATTAAATATAGTATAGTTATAATAAATATAGTAATTAAGTTGATATTTTGAACCATTTTAAAGTTAAATTAGTTACAAATGTTAATTGATATTATATGCTATAAAAATTAAAATTAATTCAAAATTGCTAATAATAACTTTTTTGTGCTTGGTTCTTTGCACCATATGAGTTTTCATAATAATTTCTAAATAAACTAAATAGTTTGAAACATTTCCTTTTTATTGACACAACAAATCAGAAACTCATGCCAATCATATTTTTATTATTGTTCTGATTAAAACCACTACAGCAACAAAAAGATATATTAAGCAAATGCTCAAAATTGTAATCCAGATACTTCTTGTTTTTCTTTGCATTTTCGTACTTTCTTTCATTAGACAATCTTTTTTTAAAAGACTTTTTTTTGTGTGGTTTTGATTTCTAATGGATTAGAAGAAGCATTATGGATTAGAAGAAGCATTAATGGATTAGAAGGACTTGCATTACTTTGCAGATTGATTAACTCACTTGTTGTTTTTAAACTGTTAAAAAATATTCTCAGAAAAACTAAACTAAAACTAATGTTTAAACAATGTTAAAAATTGTAATGTTTAAGCAATTGTTTAATGTCAACAAAAATTATGTAAGACTGATAGACAAAATATATAGTTATCAAATAGGTATCATTAGACCTCTATATGAAGCTCAGCCATTATGTTTTGATCCTGATAAGGAAAAAGATGCAGCATCACTTTTGAAGAGATTGTTAGAAAGTTATGAAGATTAAGAAGTCTTCAAGAATCATGATATAAAACTGATTGATCCCAAGAGAAACTCCGTTGTAAAAAAAATATTAGCTTATTTATTTTTTCCTAACTTAGTAACCACAAAAGAATAATTTAAAGCAAAAATTTTATTATGTTTAAAATTTTTTTAATTGCCTCAAAAAGTCCTCATGGTCTTATCACAGAGTACCTCATTCCTAAGGGATCTCACATAACTTGCTTTGAGATAAATTTAAACCACCAATCTCATGCTTCTGAGGCAAGTGCACTTGCCTCAGAAGCACGAGATTGGTGGAAAAAGATATCAAGCACCAATATTTAAAAAATATATATTATTTTTAAAATCTTTTTAAAATTCTCAGAAGATTTTCAAGTGAGCATTTTTAATGTTGGTTTAAATAGTTTGATCCAGCAGATTGATTCAAGATTTAAAGCAAGCAGGATGGTTGGCAATATGTTTTCATTAATCTGGTTAGATAATAATGAAAAAAATATTTTTGTTCAAAATAATTTTATCCAAGAGATATGAACAAAGAGGATCTCATCAATAGACTTTGTTGTTTTAACAATGCCTGTAAAACATTTTTCAAGCACTGCAACTACTCAATCAAATATTTGAGAGGAAGCTTAAACGCCTTTTTCCATACATTTGTACTATGCTTTGGATTTTCAATACTATTTCTGTGTTGGTTGCTGAGGGTGAACAACTATTTAGTAAACTAAAGATTGTGAAGAACTTTTTTCGTTTGACCGTGGGCCAGGATTGCATTACTGATCTTTTGATTATTTCGATTGAAGAAGATTTGGCTAAAAAGGTGAGCTAGGAAAATGTCATCAATATTTGGGTGGCCAGAAAAGCTAGAAATTTTTAAAGGCTTTATTTACCTTTCTCAAAGATTTTGTTGATTGAGTTTTGGGTAATTGGTTTTAAAACTAAATTTTTTTTTCATTAAAAATATTTTTGATTCATATGACGGCTTTGATTAATGAACTGTTTCTCAATCCAGAGAAGAAGTAACGCAGAAATATACAAAACTTTAAATTTTGAAATTCCTTGGTTTGAAATAGGGGTGTTGTTCTCCATTATTGACCAGGTCGCCATCGGCTCTTTTGAAGGCCCTGGCTTTTATTTAATTTTTATCTGTCTAATGTAGTATTTTTAATAAAGATTATAATCAATTTATAGATAGATTTTATTAGTTACCAATATAATATTTGTAAACGTAATTTATGTTCATAAATGCATTTAACACATAACAATAATACATATATAAGACATATTATAAGAAAAAAAAAGTTTTAATTTGCTTTTGCATATTATAATCATGATAATTTATGATAAAGAGAATTATGATAATTTATGATGAAGAGAATTATATTTTAGGTAACGAATTAGCAGATAATAAGAAAAAAAATTCTGTAATAAAAATTGCAAAACTTTGAAATTTCTTTGAAATAATTTAATCCTTAAATAAAATTTGTAACAAAATAAATATAAAACAGTGTTTTTTTTTTAAATGATAAAACTTTTTAGTTTTTATTGAGGAAGTATTTTTTAAATACATTTAAACATACAATTTTCTTATGTTAATGATAGAAAATAAGGAAAATAAACTTACGCAAAACTTTCAAAATATAGTTTTATTATTATTTTAGATATATTTTATTATTTTAGATAATATTAATTTAGTTTCTTTTTTTTTTAGAGATTTTTTGAATTAGAAAAAAAAAAAAAAAAACTAGAACTGGGGATAAAAATCAATAGTTGCCAATTAATAGGTAACTATTGATTTTTAATGCATCAAAGGAATATTATCGTTTGCCCTTCACAATGCTCAGTTGCCTGGTAACATCAGGCGACCACGAATGTACACCTTTGACTTTACAAACTATATTACTTTACATATTATATATACTTTACATATTATATATAATTTACATATTATATAAAATTTACATATTAAATATACTTTACTTACATATACTTTACATTTTATGTATACTTTGCATTATATTTAAAAAAGTGTGTTGTAACTGTGCCATAGTTTTATATTAATAATATTTTTTTCATTATATAAATTTTAAGAAACAGTACTTATCAGTTATGTAGTTTTTTCATTGGTCATCTAATCTGTTCCATTTTAAAATAAGGATTTATTGGCACCCCTTTAGTAAGTCTGTAAAAAATGAGCATGTTTTAGGCATAACACTTATTGAAACTGTACTCTAACCCTGAATCCAACAATAAAGTTTATTTTATTGAAAGCAGTACCCTAACCAAAGCTTAAGGCAAACCTTGAGCCTTACCCTAAGAGTCAGGGTTAGGGTTTGGTTTGGGAATGGTTTTGAACAATATTTGTTTCAAATAAAATTTGAATATTAATATACAAAATTACAGAGATACTAAAGGGGCTGTCTAAAATACACGTCCGCTGATTTATTTAGTGTAGATTTTGCATTATTTCATCCAGTAAAAAACTTTTTATGAGTCAACTATTAGTAACACAGTACACACGTGTAAAATATGCTAAAATATTAACTTTTTAAATGTGTTTAATAATATATACGTTGCATAAGAAAGAATATTTTTAAAAACTTTATAAATTTTTATATTAAGTTAAGTAAAATAATTAAAATAAAAAAATTTTGTTATTGGTTTTTGTTGTTGTTGTTGTTATTTGTTTTTATACAACCTTTTCAATAATATAGATCATGAAATTGAGACAGGAAATGAGATGACACAATCACAAATAACAATGTATGTTTATTGTTTATAACGTTTTTGTCTTTATAGATTATATATACTCACAAATATGTTTAACTTTAAATTAAAAAAATAAACAAGTTTAAAAAAATTAAAAATTAATTTAATGTAATTTAATTTTCATGTTTTACTTTTAGTGTTTAACTTAGAGATATGCAAGAAAACTAAAGTATTAAATGAAAATAACAATTTTTAAAAAAGATCTCAAAAAGTACTCTTTAGCATTAGATTAGACAAGTATTTAGTATAATTGTTCATGGATTTTCTTTGAAGTTATGGGTTTGTGTTACATTCATACTTTAAAGATTTGTACTTAGTTACAATTATTAATTGTTATATTAAATATTTATATATATATATAGTATTTAGATCATAAAATTTTATGTATTTTGTTTTTTTATGAGTTTATTTTAGTTAGTTTTTATAAAACCTTTTGCAAAACACATTGTTTACATTTACATTTATTTACACTCAAGCATTTTTCTGCATTTATTAGCAATGTACCTATCATAAACATTTAAAACTGTAATCACTACCAAAGAATTGTATGCTGTCACAAGTGCTATTATTATAGTATGCTGAATTTACATAATATATGTTTGTGCATCTTCCGGTTAGCATTTTTATCATTGTTCTCAAAGCAATTACAAAATTAAAAATGTATAAAAGTTTTTAACCAGATTTTAAGAACAATTTTATGCTTAATTATTTTTACAAGATTTAAATCGTAAACGTTATCAAAGAGGACAGGAAAACTGATAAACTGTGGATAAAAAGCTAGAATTTTGTTTTTAAACTATGATATAAATTTGGCTATGCATGTAAATGATAATAACTACAATAATTTAGAGAATATCAGTATTAAAAAGCATAAAGGTAGTATAGAACATTTCAAATAATTTGAACTCATTGAAATTATTTTTCTTACTAAAAGAATGTACTTATCATAAGCACAGTTTGGGATTCTGTGATTAATAAAGTTATTTAGTTGAAAGAAAATAATGGGAATCATTACAATATTAAAGATTTTTTTATACTGTGATCTAGTGGTAAATAATCATTTAAAAAGGGCAAATGACGGTTACTTAACCTGAACAACAATATAAATCAAAAACACCTTGAGGTACACAACAGCTATAAATTTACTTTCAAATATCTAATAAGTCCTTACCCTCTTAAAGTATGTGCCAGCACAATAGAAGCTCTGCTTGCTATGATTTTTGAATGAGTGTTAATGGAACAATGAATAGTGCCGAATGCATGGATTGTTGCGAATGTAATTTCACTGTTTGAAAATGACTCCAAGATTGATCCAACAAACTATAGACCAATTTTCATGAAAATCATGAAAAAATGTTTAAAAATCACTTAATATGAAAAATCATGAAAAAACGTTTAAAGATCATTTAATATGTTTTTCAAATGTCAGCATTGATTTGTCAGCAAAAAATCCTGCGTTTCATATTAACTTGAAACTATGGATTTTTTGACCTACATTACACTATGTAAGTTTTCTGTAGATGTTCTTTTTTTTAATTTTCTAGAGGCATTTGACAAAGTTTTTGCTTTGATGAAAATGGTTTAAACGGTATAGTTAAAAGAATGCAGCTAAAATCAACAACATTGGAAAAAGAACTTGGTGATATCCTTAAGTATAAGAGTCAAGCATTCAGTACTGCTGCTAGGGCAGTAAAGTAAAAATCTGGAAAAACTTCTACCAACATATGTATGTTTACTTCTAAAATATTCTATCACCACTTTGTGTCTTATTTTAAAATAGACATTTATTCAATTGAACGTATACAATATTGTGTCACAAAAATACCCCATGAATAGAAGCTCTGACTTCAATATAAGATGTACTAAACATGGCCTAACTTCACTTAGTGACAAAAATAGTTTTTTTGATCTTATCCAAACATTCAAATTGGAAAAATTTAATCAACTAGTATTACAAGCTGTTATTCATTCCTCATATCTACATCCATCACAATCACTTTTGTTAGGAAAATGATAGTAACTGCCTAGTACACTTTAACTTTTTCAACAATCCTGTTGCAAATAATTAGAATGCTTCACTGGATGGGGTTGTCAATGTCTCTATCAACAATTTCAGACTTATATAGTTAACACAGTGCATCGCTTTCTGTGGCTGTATTGCTGCAGCTATATGAACTAGCTTGCTCTCTTCATCATTGTTAGCTTTAGCTGTTTTGTTTAACTTAAAAACAATATGTAATCAAATGCATTTAAGAATGGTTAATTAATTTAATTTATTGGAATAGCATCACATGTTTAAATTTATGATGTAAATATCTATTATTGTACACTTGCTAATTAGTGTCACAAATAAAGAAAGTTTTGCAGATATTAATGAGCAAGGACACAGCAATCAATTCAATATGAAAGGTAAAAAAATTAGTTGAAACTTAAGTTTTTTAATGTTAACTTTAATAAGTTAATCTTTAAATGATTAAATCAAAAGCTTGTTAGATTTAAAAGCTTGAATTTTATTTTGATATTAAAGATATTAATAAAATAGTAAGTATATCATGATTAATAAATCAAAATATTGGGATAAATCAAAATAAATTGGTTCAGAGAATTTTTTACATTAAGTCTAAGTTGTTAACTTATAAATTAGAAGGAAAAAATACCAGTTAGTTCATTAATCTATGATAGTTAACTGGAAGAACTGTTTCCTAATACTTTTATTTTCCTACAATTGTTATTAATGCCAGCAGTAAGGAATAGTTACTAACAAGTGAGAAACAGTTACTAACATTAACAATTTATAATCAACAATAAGTCAAGTAGGTTTAAATCAGGGATGTCTAACTTTTTTACACTAAGAGCCATTGTTTTATTCTGACATTCAAAAAAAATATATAAACTTTTACGATATTAAAAGCTTTTATTTAAATTTTAACAAACTGTTACAATAATTTATTTTAGGATTGTTTTGTTTTATGCATAAACTTGACATTGTTTTGTTTTTGGATAAACTTTCAATGCCTTCATTTGTACTGATTGGCAAAGTTTGAAGAGTTTCAGTAAGCTGCTTATCTTTCTTTGCTCTGTTCTAACACGCAAGATTTTAGAGACAAAATATTTTTTGCAGCTTATTATCAAATTTCCAATAGAAAAAGGTTTACCACTCTTTGAAATAATTTCTGCAAATAAAAAACTTATTTTTATATCACTGTATGAACTAAATACTTTTCATCAATAGCCTAAAAACAGTATTTCATTCCATCTTGTCAATACAAAATCAGCTTTTAAATTTTTCATTACTTGCCGCATGTCTTGTAGTATTTTGTCTGTTCACATAGTGAACAGACAAAATACTACATGCACACAGCAGTTTTCTTTAGACAAATGAGACACATAATAAAATTATTTTGCTTAAGTACAAAATGTTTGATTAAATCTAAGAAGATTACTCTATCTATCTAAATCTAAGAAGACTACTTACTAAGAAGACAACTTGTGTGCAAGCTTTTAGCTAAAGCCATGTTTAAAAAGTTTTTAATATGGCTACCATTTAAAATATAGACTTATAAAATATATAAATAACAGTAGTTGGGTATGCTGAAAATTGTATTAGAAAAAATAAAATTTAACACTTTTTACACTTTGTGGCCTGCAGGACTTGTGTTAGACAACACTGGTTTAAATTTATTAATATTTTTACCAAAAAAGCTTGCTAAATCTATTGAAACATAGTAATTAAATTTGTTTAAAGCAAAATTTTTGAGGTTCTTTAAGAATAAAAAAAAAAAAAAGGTTTATAGACTGTGAATTTTTATGCCTGTGTGCAAAGCACACAGACATAAAAATTCACAGTCTGGGTCTGCATATATGTATCCAATTTTTGAAGTCAAAGCTTATAATCTCATTCTGCCATACTTTGAGCGCTATATAAATGTATTTATATAAATAATGTAGCAAGCAAGCAACATTGATTTTATTATCAAGCACCTAGTATTTTATTTTTATTTAAGGTTTTTTGTTTTTAGAAGAGAAGCAAGCACCAGTAAGATTTTTGAAGTTGTAAGTTAATACAATGTGTTCTTTATTTTCTTTTAAAAGTAGTAAACAAGTTATTGTTTTATTTTTTATTAATATTTGCAAGGTGGTTTTTTTTTTACAAGGTGATTTTTTTCTTTAGCAATATTTTTTTAATTTTTTTTTTTTTTTGTTAACTGTGCTTTTTTTTTTTTTTTTGCAAGGTGGTTTTTTGCTTTTGCAAGGTTTTTTGTTCTTTTGCAATGTTTTTTTTTTTTTTTTTTTTTGCAAGTTGAGTTTTTTCTTTTGCAAGGTGCTTTTTCTTTCTTTTACAAAGTGCGTTTTTGCTTTTGCAAGATTTTTTTTTTTTTTGCAAGGTAGGTTTTTTTTTGCAAATAGAATCTTTTTCTTTTGGAATGTAGTTTTTTTTTTTTTTGCAAGGTGTTTTTTTCTTTTGCAAAGTGGCTTTTTTGGCTTTTTTTCTTCAGCAAAGTGGCTTTATTTTTCTTTGGCAAAGTAGTTTTTTCCTATTGCAAGATGTTTTTTTTTAAGTAATAGTTGTTCACTTACAATAGTGTAATTTTAAAATTTAATTGTTTACAAAAAATCACTTTTTTTCATATAGGATAATATAAAGAAAAGAAAACATAAACAACTATGTAAAGCAATGATGTTGTGCATTTGCTATGCTGCAAATATTGGAGGTATAGGAACATTAACAGGATCAGCACCTCAACTTGTGTTAAAAGGCCAGATGGAACAGTAAGATAGCATTTTATAGTTTGTGCACTTTTTACTAAAAGTATTTAATTTTATTATTATTTAAAACATTAAAAATCTTATGTCACTAAAAAAAAATTTTTTTTTGAAACTTTATCAAACCTTAGAATTTTCCCAAAAGCTCCAGCAATATCTTTTATTTACTGGTTTGTTCATGCATTCCCTCTAATGCTTGTCTTTTTGGTTATTTCTTGGATTTATCTTCAAGCTGTATTTATTGGAATAAGGTAAAATCTTGTTAAAAAGTTTTTCTTTCCATTTATTTAACTAAATTAAGAATTTAATAATAATTTTAACTTGTTACTTTTAGATGGAAGCATTTAAGTTGCTTTTATCGTGGTTGCAAAGAAAGCTCAATAAAAGGAAAAGAACTTTATTTAGTAATGAAACAGCAGTATGATGCTCTAGGACCAGTAAGGTAAATATCAAAATAAGAAATTGTGAAATAACAATAATTATAACAAATATAACAAAGAAATAGTGTACTTTTATACCAAGATTCATTTGATATTTTTATATTTTGTTTAGTTTTGCAGAAATAGAAGTGATGCTGAGTTTTTTACTTCTTGTGGTTTTGTGGTTTTTCAGAGAACCATCTATTTTTCCTGGATGGGGAAGTTTTTTCAAATTTCAGTAAATTTCTTTTTAATAATTGATTATAAATTGTTTATACTATGATCTATTTGATACAATTTTTTGAAGTATTCTATTTTATTTATACAATTGTTATGACAAATTTCTTTTAATTTTGTTTATTGATTTTTTTTGGTAGATAAAATTTGTTTTTAAAATGTTAATAGGAAGTGTTTAATATAAAACAAAATTTCATAAAATAAATAATTAACTACATAAATTAAATAAATAAAATATTTACATAAATAGTTAACTATATAAATTGAATAATTAAAATAACTAAATAAGATAACAACCTAATTAAAATAGTTAACTACATAAATTAGATAAATAAAATAACTACATAAAATAAATTTAAAGAATAACTATATAAGTTAAATAAATAAAATGTAGTGGAATGTTTTTTTTTTTTAACATATCTAAAACTTTGTACATAAATTTACTTCTGCTTTATTGTATTTTTATATTATTTTCTTTCACCTGACCAGAACTTTTTATCAAGTAACTTATCCTCAAATTTAATCTTTTATTTGTCATCAATATATTAGCGTATTGTGGTGTATGTAATAACTCTATTCTTTTAAGGCGCAGGTGAAAATGTTTGTGGTTCAAATTCTCCTCAGGGAGATTTTTTTTGTAAACTTTAATAGTTTATTTCTAGAAGGTCATTAATTTTACATCTTACAAATAATGTTTTGTATATATTGTTGCTGAAATTGTTTGCATGCTCGTAAAAATAATATTAACATAATAAAAACCTTTTTTTTATAAAAATTTTTTTTTTTAATTTTTCACTTGATATATATAATAGTTCTGTGGATGTAATAGGCATCTAATTGTGATGTATGATAGTTTATAAAAAGATTTTCAATATGTAGACAAGTTTACAGTTATTTTTTTTTACTTTATTACTGGTTATATTGGTTTTCTGCTTATACTACAATTGATTATTTCACAATAATTTACCATTTGTTTGATATTTTTTACATATTGGTATTTTTGGTTCAGAATATGAATTTAGCAAAAATTTAGACATGACAAATGCAAAGAGGTTGTTGTTAGAAATTTTTTTTTTATATATTTATTAAAGTAAATTACTTTTGTTATTTTCATACCTACCTGGGAGAAGGAAAACTCTGGTATAAAATGTCAAATTTAATGTGGATAAGGATGAGCTCATAAACACTGCATGGTCATCTGTCTAATGGTATCACAAGAAAAATACTCAGTCTTGACCTGCAAAACAATTAAACACCAGAAAGGGTTAAGTTTTTGTAAAAGGTTGCTTAACCTTTGCTAAAACATCACAGAATTAGGTGAATGGCATGAAGAAGAAAAAAAATTACAAACAAACAAAAATTAGTTTAGAAGCGCATCTGCCATATTTACAAAAATCATATTTAACTTTTACTAAAGATTTTTTTCTATTAACAAATGAGTTGGATCTGGAATATTAGTAACCAAGCGAAAGCAAATGAAAATAAATAAAAAGAAAAATACGAAACTGAAAAGTTCTTTCCAATCTCAAGTTGTTTTAAATTTAACAATGTTTAGTTATATATTAATGCAGCCTGAAGAGACAAAATGTAGGTTCAGCTTTATATGAAGAAGATTTCATCTCAAGTTGTTAAATTGCTTGAGCAAAAATTTTGTTTTGTTACTTATATCAAAATTTAAAGAGTTTCGATGGATCTTTGATTTATTTATTCAAAAACTACTTTTTGCAGTCGCTGGATGTAAAGCTAAAAAGTAAGTCTTGCTCGAATAAAGGTTGTGTTGTCTGTAATTTGTCTGAAGTTTTAGTTCAGAATTTCGGTGTTGAATTCAATTTTAATTTTGCCCCGAATATGTAAAAAAAGGAGGTAAAAAATAGAATCAGGAGATAATGATTAATGAGAAGTAAAAAATAAAGATGATGGCTAGCACAATCAAGAGATTTAACCTTAGTAGATGCTAATTTTGCAGTAGATTTTATATATGTAATTCATGAGATGTCAGCAGTGAATGGTATTCCAAAATTCCTTAAAGTAGTGGACTTTCTCAGAGGGTTGCCATTAATCAATAAATGAATGTCAACAATATTGTAATTAGGTACAATTGCAGCCACTGCATTCCCAAGACTTGTTTTCTTCAGAGTTTTTAAATATTGGAACTACAAATGACAGGAAATTTAGGTTCAGTTAAGCAATACATACTCTCAGTATACCACTTTTGTTGTGATTACTTAATTTTGATGTCATATTGAAAATAAAGATGGTTTTGATTGTTTGAACACATCATTCTAAAACATTACCATTTTGTTTACTTGTGTGTTGTTGCAGTTTTTAGACTTTTTGTCAAACTAGTAATTTGCAAGTTATATCATTTGAAAAAAAAAGGCTGCCTGAAGATGTTGCAGTGAATTTTAAACTGAAAATCACTCATTATAATTTAACATTTTAAATAGTGGAATATTGTTTAATTAAAACTTTTATAACTTGAATTTTTTGAAAATGCTTCTAAATATCTCAGCATACTATACACATGTTTAGTTAGTTGCACTACCCCTCACTTAAATGACTGCTTCTTAATATCTCACCATGCTATATGCACGTTTAGTTAGTGCAACTAATTAAACATGTATATGCAAACAAGTCAAAATATTTCTCTTAATTAAAATGACATCGAATTACTTTGAAAAATAAAAAAACATTCTGCACAACTATCTTCAAAATCATTCTGCATCGTTACTTTCAATCGCTAAAGCATCTGAATCTAGCAAAACTACTGTTTATATGGTCTTAAAACCATACAAGAGGTTTCTATCTCTTAAATGAGCAAAAGGTTCTGCAAGAAAGAGTGGTTTTAAGGATAAGAAAGCTGCAATTAACGAGAACAAATCAAAAGGTATTAGGTTTTAGAGTTTTTTGTCAGGAAAGTTGCAAAATTTAACAATTTTATGGCTTAATAATGGCCTTATCGAGCCATTAAATATCCAAACTGATCAGATTAGCAATCACTGAATGCTAAAATTCGAGCTTGAAAATTTTATGACAAAGTGTTACAAAATTTAATGGCTGCATAATTATGGATGATGAAATGTACATCAAATGTGACTTCAAACAGCTCCAGGTCCAAAACTTTAATCTTTAATTGTTTGACGTGTCAACAACAAGTTTAAATATAAATCAAATTGGATAAATTTGGTAAAAAACTTCTCTTGTGGCAAGCAATATGCAGCTGTGGTTTGAGATCTCAAGCTTTTATCACATTGTCAACTTTAATCTTGAATGTTTACATCAAGGAATGCTTGCAAGCTAGACTTTTACCATTTTATCGAATTCACTTGCTTATTGTCATTATTCTAAGAAGACTGTAGAGTGGTACAATTTAAGAGGCATCAAATTCAGACCAAAAAGCTTTAATCCACCAAACTGCTACCACCACAGTTCTGTCCCAATACGAAAATTTGGGGACTTTACAAAGGATATTTGGGTAAAAGTGGCAAAACAATAAGTACAACTAAAGATTTGATTAGAGAGTGGAAATTAGAAGGGAAATGATTGCTAATGAAGTTGATGTCATGGATTAGCGCAAATATTCGAAATAATGAAAAATGTTAAAATAAAATTTTTATAATCTTCAAGTTCCTTAGATTAGAATAAATATTGCATTTTTTGTATTAGTTTAATTATTAATATTATTTTTTTAATTTTTCATTGTTCCAAATTTAACGTTCACATGCTTTAGTGTATTAATGGGCTATTACTATTTTTAGTCAATTAATTTTGTTTATCATTAATAATTTTTATATAGTTGCATTTAACTAAGTTGCAGCAAATTCCTATTCTTTCTTGCAAATTTTTATTTTTGATTGAATGAAACTTGTTTTTCGACAAAATACTGTTATGTAGTTGTAATAAAGATTTCAAAAAATGTTTTTGATCAGTGTTTGCAAAATCTTTTGTTGAAATATAAAAGAGATCTCTTCTTTCTGAAACAGTTAAGTTGTCTTTGAACAGAACAGTTAAGTTGTCTTTGAACAGTTAAGTTGTCTTTGAATAGAAATAAATATAAATATATATTTAAGTTCATTATATAGATTATATATAGTAAATATAAAAGAAAATACTTTTCTTGGTTAAAATTTTATTTTTTTTAATGTTCATAAATTTTTTTTTTATAAAACTAGTTTTTTATATTTTAAAATTGTTTTAGATATGTAACTGATGGTACTCCAGCTGTTTTGGTTGGCTTCTTGCTATTTCAGCTTCCTTCAAAAGGTCCTAAAAAAGATCAAGATATTTTTTTAAAAGCTAAACTTATATGTGGCTATATTAACTACAAACTAAGTACAAAAATATTTTTGTTATTGAGATTGTTATTTGTCCATTGTTATTTTAGCTCCAAATAAACCAAAGCGACTTTTGAGCTGGCCACGTGTACAAAAGGTTTTCCCATGGGATGTTTTATTTTTACTTGGGGCTGGTTTTGCTTTGGCAAAAGCATGCGAGGTTTTTATTTTATTGCATTAATTTACTATGATATTTTTTAATACTTTTTAAACTATTTTTCTCTAGTGTTAATCTTTTTGTAAATCTTTTTGATAAAATAACAAATTTTTTTTAGGATTCTAAGCTTTCTTTATGGTTAAGTTGTCAACTCGTTGGTTTAAAAGTATTGTCACCTTTTTTAATTGTACTTATTATTTCTGCTATGGTTACCTTTTTAACAGAAATAACATCTAATACTGCTACTGCTGCTATTTTACTTCCGGTGCTTGCATCATTGGTAAGAAAATGATATAAGATTAATACCTTTATCACTCTCTTGAGCAACTGCAATTTATACAACTGTCAGTTTGTTTATGCAACTCTCAGTTTATGTAGCTGTTAGGTTATGCAACTGTCAGTTTATGCAACTGTCAGTTTTTGCTAGTCAAGTATACTTCATTAGCGAAGAATTTTAATAATTCATATATTTTTTGCATTTAAAGGCGCAAAGTGTTCATGTTCACCCTCTTTATCTGATGCTGCCAACTACAATATGTGTTTCTTTTGCATTCATGTTACCTGTAGCTACACCACCAAATGCTATTGTATTTGGGACTGGGCGCATCATGGTCAAAGATATGGTTTGTTTATTGTATTAAAATTGTGATTTATGAATGTTAACATCATTGTTTATGTAAATGAAACAATTATTTTGATATTTCTAATTTTTCAGGCTTTGGCTGGTTTTGGAATGAACATACTTGGAATATTGCTTATTACTTTATCTATTAACACTTGGGGATATTCATACTACGACCTAAAAAATTACCCGACATGGGCTAATTCTATAAAATCCAATTCATCTGTTCGGTGCGTATGAAATCTGCTATATCTCTTAAGTAATTAAAGTATTTATGTTTTTTTGTAAAAAATATTGTTTATATTTTTGAATATTATCAGAGAGTTTATACAGTTGTACAAATCTATTTGTAATATATTTCATAACAAGTTTTGCAATTTTATAGTTTTGTGATAAACAGTTTGTACTTTCTGGTCTTTTACAATGTTTTGACTAACTTTTAATTTATGAATATATTAAATTCATGTGCAGGTGTGTCGCCATTAATTTGTAATATGCTTTTACTACAGAAAATTGTAGTTTAATAAATTAAGGCTTTAAATCAGGATTTTGATTTTGTTTAGGTATTTGTAAATTTTTACATTTCACTAGTTTTTACCTCATTGTGCTTGACTACAGTAGACTTAAAGTCTGTTTTTCGAACAATTTAATTTTTACAATCCTTTTTTCTATTTGATATTAATGGCGATGCTTTTGTTTTGAATCTTTGTTACAAGAAATATATATTTTATAATTAATAATATAGATCTATATTTTATAATTATTACTAACTTTTTCTATATTTTTTTGCTTTCGTCCCACGAAAATTTTGATTAATATCTAAAATGGAAACTATTTTTATAAGTTTTTTATATTTAAGTTTTGTAGAATTAACAAAAAGTACCAGAACGATAAGAATTCCTTTTGACTAAATGCAATCAACAATTTTTTAATTATTTTTTTATATGGATTTACTCGTTACTTGTAAAAAGTGTACGATTCAACGTAAGAATTTTTTTATTGTTCTTACCTCATTTTTCGGAATCATAGATTATCATAATTCTGTTTTTTTATTGGGACATTCTTTTTAATTTTTTTAACGATTTCTTTTTGAACTATGTAGTTTATATTATTTTTTTAAAAATATTTTTTAACGTTTTTAAATTTTTTTTTTTTTGTCGAAAAAAATGTTATAATTACTTTCTTTTTATTTGACACTCCTCGGATATTGCACAACAATAATTTGCTGTCTTACATTACTGCCTTTCATTAAATTTAATCACGATTCTATATAGTGAACAATTTTTTTTTTTTAATTTACTTTATAAGCTAACGTTTAGCGATTTCCTAAGGAGTATTATAATTTCAACGAAAGATAATTAATCAAATATTTATTTTGCAGCAAAGTTTTATGTTAAAACTTTAAAAATTAGTATAAAAAAAATATATTTTCAAGCAATAGTTTTAGATATATTGTTATCTAATAACGATTAATCGGTAATAAATCGACTGTAGTCGGTTGCATAATAGTTATCGACTCTGTATCTCAACAATATTGTGTACTGCTTACTATAAAACTTTTTTGATGGTTCACTGAAAGTTTTTAAAACTGCAGCCCTTGGAACTAGGGTTGGCATTCGGCAATACCGACCTAACTATTGAGCTAGAATTGTTTGAGGTCGGCAAAAAATTGACGACCTTGTTTCTATGTTTTACAGTAAAACCTTTCCATCAAATTTTTTTTGCCGACCTAATTTTGACCTCTAAAAGATGAGGTCAGCAAATTATTGCCGACCTGATTTTTCCTAATTCCGAGAGCTGAAAATGAAAACTGTTAACACCATCAATTGGAAGTGAATTTGTTGTCTACTTAAGATGAATAATTGAGCGAAATGTGAATTGTTATTTAAATCACAACCTAATCTAAGCAGCTAAAGGCTTTCCTCGCTTTTTATATTAATAAATCACTTTCGCCAAAATGATGCCAAAACTCACAGCAATTTTAAATAGCAAAATGTTTACTAGGGATCACACCCAGATTCTCCGTATACGGAAAGGTTGGAGGAAGAATGGGAGACCTCCACATTTACATGGTTCAAGGGCCACCACAAGGGTAAATCTGGCCGTGTTCCAGAACAAACTAATTTATATAGTGCTTATATAATGCTCTCATGGGAAATCATTTGCAACTAATAATGATGAAATAGATTAACTGCATAGTATGCAAATGCTCACGGAAGTTATTTGCTTTCTAAACAATTGTCTTTACTGGCTTATAGAAAACAAATATTCCAAAATAGCGGATATTATGTCAAATAATTGATATAAGTTTCCTTTGCAGATACTTTCATAGAGCAGATAACAGCACAAAAAGATTAAGAAGAACATAAAAGTTACAACGTGTTCAAATTATATCCAATCTTGAAAGCTAATTTTAATAATTGTATAAACATACAATCAGAATGCTGCAATTTCGTTTATGAGCAAATAACTCTTTTAAAAACAAAACATAACAAAATTATCCATTGTAACCTAAAGAAACTAACAAGGTGGGAGAAGTTTGTTTGGGCAAATAAAAGTGGAATAATGGAGGGTTTTTTCTGAGTTAGAAAGACAAGATGGAAATGACAGTTGTTTTGAAAAGAATATTATTTACGTCTATTCAAATACATTCCAAAAGCTGCAAAATTTGACGTTGTTGTTTGGTTTTTGTGCACTATAATTATATATTATATAAATGGAAATAATTCTAATAAAGACATTTCAAACTAATAGGTTAGTTAGTTGTTTATTGCAAAGTGTTAACGGTACGAGAAAAGCTGTTGAAGTAGTTGATAGAGTTTACCAAAGTTTAGAACTTTTACTTTTGAAAAGGTTTGATAGTATCCACATGTTACTTCTACATACCGTTCTTCTTATTTAGATGGAAAAGTCAGCAGATGATAAAAACACGCAAATGTTATACTAACGAAAAATAAATTTGTAAAGTATCGTTATTACTTAAAGAGCGCAACAACACTTAAGGCATGTCATTAAAAATTGGAAACAAATTGGAAGTCAAACAAAATTGATTCTAATGTTGTTTGACTTCCAACTTGTTATCTCAATTCCTTAACAATTTCTCATATTTAAATGGACAAGACAAATAATACTAAAAAAAAATAACTCCTGTTGACGAAACAACAGCAGTGTATATGTGGTTAACAACTAACAGTAGTTCCTGCACGGAAATATTGTTAGGAGATTTCGACTTGTATACAAAGTTTCATTGTTTAAACAATGGTATCTTGAAACATATACTTTTGTAAGTTTTAAATTTAACCAAAAGTGTAAAAAAATCCAGGTTTATTAAAGTCGCAAAAGTAATTCCTTTCTCCATTTCTTTTTCAATTAAACCTTTACCTATGCATTTAAGATTAATTGCATTAGCTAAGAAATGATACTGAGGTTATTGCCTGCAGAATTCTTTTAATTAAGTGCTTCCTAGCATCTAGCTGAGCTTAGATGTTAATTTCTTCTAAAGGTTTTTTAAAATCATTGTTACTAAAAATATGTCTTTATGAGGCCAAATTCTAAAGCAACTGGTTTAAACATTTGTAACAATTCTTTTGCGCTTTGCTTCGTATTAATGTTACTTACAATAGTTGTAATAATCTTATCCATTATCTTCGCAATTTGTTCTGTTTTCTTCAGTGGTCAGTGTTTTAGATTTCTAAGGCAATGTGTTCTATTTGACATCCTGAGTCATTACAAATATTATCCATGAATCGCTGTAGCGGTAAAGTGGTTAAAATATCTCATTTTATAATATAAAAAACTAATCAGAAACATTGCATAATTTTTTTCTTTTCAAAAAATGTTTTGATTATACCTAAGTTATCAATAAATATTTAATAAAAAAACTAAAAAGCAACGTGTTTAAAATTTTTAAATTGTTTAAAAATAAAATTAAGTAGATTTAGTTTAAAGTTTAGAAAATCTAAGTTTTAAAAAATATGTAGTCAAATCAAAATTTTTGATTTAGTTAATCAAAAATGGCGAAGTAAATAGAAGGATGAATCATATTTTTAAATTAATTGTCACAACTACAAAAAGTTGCTTTATTATGAAATTAATCAAAAAAACGGTGAAAATTCGAGTTTCTTCAACATCTTAGGAAGGCAACTTTTGTAAATGCTTTTTTTAAATGCTTTTCTACGTAGTTCGAATTCACCAATAATTCAAACAGACTATTTAAAATTTTACGTAATTAACTATACCCATTTTCGACAAATTATGAATTATAATCGTACGAGTTGGGTGTCACGTAAAAGCGTGTGACATCACGTATTCATTTTTGATTACTTTTAAGGGTTATTTCAATCACTATTATAGTTAGAGATCGTCCATAAAGTACGTAAGCTTTTATTTCGACCCAACCCCCCCCCAACCCCAACACACATACGCATTTTGCCATGCGCTTTTTTGAGTACCCTCCACCTCCTTAAAAGTACCTACGCTTTTAACCTACTTACCCAACATTTTATGATATTTTTTTAGTTTAGTGTCTCCTTATTTTTATAATTGATCCACCATCCCTCATCTCCTATATGCCATTTGCAGACCCACTCTTCCCCTCCGAGCGTATCTCTTCCCCTCCGAGTGTTTGGAATGCATATTGCAATAATAGTATTAAAATATGCAAACTTTAAATATGTTTTGATTGTTAATGCTAAAGTTTAACGCATTGTAGAATTGTTTGAATGTTTGTATACTGATTTGTGGGCACTTGATATTTACGTTCACAAAAGAACATGACATGTTTTTATTTATTGTAAATGTGGAATTCAAATGATTTTTTACTCTTAATCTTTTTAGATTGCATAATGAATTTGAAGAAAAAGTTTATTAAAAGCAGAATTGACGCGGATAACTTAGTATTTAGCCAACCCTATAAATTTCAAGAAAGTCAATTGCCAACTAATGCTTAAAAATTATTAGACACGCAAAGACCTTCTCACAATCCTTAGACTCTGAAGAACCATCAATCAGAGACGTAAATAAGATAGTAGCAGATGATTCGGTAAACATATGGTCGAGGGCGGGGGTTTCCGATGATTTCATATAACAGCATTTTAAAAAGCTTGGATAAATTGGTTACTGATACAAAACGATTGAGGAAATCTGTTGATTAAAAAGAAATTCAACTATGTCTCAGTGCCAACTTGGTTCGTTCAATAAAGCTCCTTTAAATAAATGGAAGGTTTGACTTGATCAAAAAAATGTACATTGGCTAGATTAACCAAGTAGAAACAAAACAACTCCAAAAGCTAAAGAGTCGTTAAGAACGGGAAATTCAATTTAAAAAAATGAATGCAGAAACATTCCAAGCTTCTTCATTAAAAATAACTCTTTCTTGCGAGAGCGGTAATAAAGAAATTGCTATGATGATAATGAGGAATTTGAGGAAGGTACTGATTCAGAAGACAGTTAGCGTAGTGGATACGATCTCAAATATCGCAATGTATTTCGGTACAAATAACTCTGTCAAATAATGAAATGAACAGGAGTTAGCAACCGAGGTACATGCAAAATTGTTAACAATTGCTTGAAAGATATATTATTCGATTCGCCACAATACAAATTAAATCAAGCAAAATTGATAAGGCAAAGAAACTTGTGGCGACAAAAAGATATCGAAAAACATCATTGGAATTGGTCTTGATAGCTGTATAGACAAAACTCTAAGGTTAGTGGAAAAAGACGGTAAATTAGAATCAAAGAAATCAATACTTTATAAGCTCATATTTCAACAGTGTCTACTTTAGTCAAATTTGTCCGCAAAGTGATAAAGCAGTTAATGTTGCAAAGGCAATCATTTAAGCTTTAAATGACAGAAATTTTCTTGTGACTATATAAAGTGTTGTTTGTGATGGAAACAATTTAAACACGGGAAAAATGGCATCAATCGTTTACTTGAAACTCGTATTGGCAAACCTCCTTAATGGTGTATTTGTTTGCTTCATTTGAATAAGCTGCCTCTCAGACCAATTTTCTCTACACTTGATTCTACATCTGTTTCTACTGCATTCAAAGGAATTCTTGGTGAACAACTATTTTTTAATGTTCATTTTCTACTGATAGTTGACTTTGCTAGTTTAAATGGAGTTTTCATTGAAACATCTGATGACGTCATTTATGATCCTCGGAAAGAT